AGAACACTCACCTAGTGGGAGAAGCCTCTGCTCCAAGGAGCCCACCCTCCAGCAGATAACTCTGGTTTCTGGAGCATACCCCTTGTATATCTGACAAGGAGTTAATATCCAAAATTTATAAAGAATTTCTAAAACTCAACACCAACCCCCGCCTCCAACAATCTAATGAAAAAATGGGCAAGGGACCTGAATAGACAGACACTTCTCCAAAGAAGACATAGAGGTAGCTAACAGACATAAGAAAAGATGCTCAACGTCACTAATCATTAGAGGAATGCAAATTAAAACCACAATGAGATATCATCTCACACCTCTCCGAATGGCTGTCATCAATAAGTCAACAAACAACAAGTGCTGGGGAGGATGTGGAGAAAGGGAACCCTAGTCCACTGTTGGTAGGAATGCAGACTGGTGCAGCCACTGTGGAAAACAGTATAGAGTTACCTCCAAAAATTAAAAATGCGATTACCTTATGACCCAGTGATTCCGTTTCTGGGAATTTATGTGAAGAAACTTGAAACACTAATTTGAAAGAATATATGCACCCCTGTGTCCATTACAGCATTGTTTACAATAGTTAAGATTTGGTAGCAGCCCAAGTGCCCATCAGTAGATGAGTGGATAAAAAATACTGTGGTACGTTGACATAATGGAACATTACTCAACCATAAAAAATAAAAGGGGAAATCTTACCTTTCATAACAGCATGGATGGACATGGAGAGTATTATGCTAAGTGAAATAAGCCAGTCAGGGGAAGAAAAATACCATATAATTTCACTTATATGTGGAATCTAATGAACAAAATAAATAATACATGTAAAATAATGAAACTCAACCACGAACTTTCACCATACACAAAAATAAACTCAGGGTGGATAAAAGACAAATAAAAGTTACAACATGATAAAAGTGCTAGAGAACATAGACAGAAAACTCTCAGATATTCCACGCAGCAATATTTTCAGGTATGTCCCCTAGAGCAAGGGACATAAAAGGATAAACAAATGGGACTTCATCAAAATAAAAAGCTTCTGCACAGCTAAAAGGAATCAGCAAAATGAAAAGGCAACCAACCATATGGAAAATATATTTGCCAATGATACCTTGGACAAGGATTTGATCTCCAAAACATATAAAGAATTCACACAACTCCACCGCAGGAAGATAAACAACCCAACTAAAAAATGGGCAAAAGACCTGAGCAGACACTTCTCCAAGGAAGACATACACAGGGCCCAGAGACATATGAAAGGATACTCAGCATCACTAGACATCAGAGAGAAGCAAATTAAAACCACAATGAGATACTACCTTACATCAGTCAGAATGGCCATCATAAACAAATCAACAAACAACAAATGCTGGCGAGGACATGGAGAAAAGGGAACCCTACTACACTGTTGGTGGGAATGCAGACTGGTGCAGCCAATGTGGGAAACAGTATGGAATTTGATCAAAAAAATAAACATGGAACTGCCTTTTGACCCAGTATTCCACTGCTGAGATTATACCCTAAGAATCCTGAAACACCAATTCAAAAGAACTCTTGCACCCTGATGTTCATAGCAGCTCAATATACATTAGCCAAGTGCTGGAAGCAACCGAAGGCCCATTAGTAAATGAGTGGATCAAAGAACTGTGGTACATTTACACAATGGAATACTATACAGCAGAAAGGAAGAACTCCTACTCTTCATGACAGCATTGGATCTGGAGAGCATTATGCTAAGTGAAGCCAGGCAGTGAAAGACAAATACCATATGATCGTCACCTATAAGTGGAACCTAATGAACAAAACAAACAAGCAAGTAAATGTAACCAGAGACATGGAAATAAAGAACAAACTGACAGTAACCAGAGGGGAAGAGGGAGAAGGATAATGGGGGAAAATAGGGGAAGGGCCATCAAGGAACATGTATAAAGGACACATGGACAAAGCCGAAGGGGGAAGGGTCGAGGGTGGAAGGCTGGGATGGGTGGGGCGGAATTAAGAAAACTAACTGTACTTGAACATTAATTAAAAAAAAAAAAAAAAAAAAGATAAATCATTCCGAAGAGAAATTTTAAAAGATGTAAATGAAAGAACTGTGTTCGTAGGTTGGAAGACTCAATGGCGTTGTCTATGTCTCTTAATCTACCCCAGAAAATTCATCCATTGCAATCTCAATCAAAACCCCATTATGTTTTTCATAAAAATTAACAAGATAATTGCAGAAATGCAAAGCACCTGGGTTACAATTTTTTTTTTTAAGAAAAAGAATAAAGAATCCTCACTACCTAAGACGTATAAGAGCTAGTTATCACAGCAGCATGGTTTTGGAATTCCAGAGATAGATTTAATTAAGTAAAGTGCTGAAATAGTCCCTTATGTTTATGTAACACTGAATTTTGACCAAGATGCAAGAGCATTTTCGGCAGAGAAAGAACAGTCTTGTCAACAAATGGTTCTGGAACAAGTGGATACTCATTTTGATCCATACCTCCCACCATAATTAAAATTTAACTGCAAATATATCTAAACATGAAATTGAAAACTATATTTCTAGAACAAAACATAGGAAAAAGATATGTATACTGTTAGGCTAGGCAGATTTCTTAGATACTACACCAACAGCATACTCCATAAAATATAATTGATAATTTGGATTTCATAAAAATAAAAACTCTTCCAAAAACATTGCTAATAAGACACATCCTAATGAACTACTTGCATGCAGAATGTATACTCTCAAATATCAATACAAAAACAACACAATGAAGAAAAAGTCGTTTGACTAGACACTTCACCAAAGAAAATGTATGGATATGGCAAACCTGAAAAGGTGCTAAACATTAGTCATAGGGAGATGTAAAGTAAACCACAAGATACTACTACACGCTTATTAGAATGCCTAAAATGAAAAACTGTACCAAGTGTTGATGAGAATGTGATGTAAATGAAACTCCCATACACTCCTGAGAACATAAAATGGTATAGCCACTTTGGAAAACGTTTTGGTATTGTCTAAAAAAGTTAAACACACATTTGCCATATAATCCAACCATTCCACTACTACTTACCCAAGAGAAATAAAAACATACCACTTACAAAGACTTGTATATAAATGTTTAGTCAATTTTTAAAAACTTCATGAAAGATAACTTTTTAAATAATTTTATTTATTTACCTTTAGAGAGAGGGAGAAGGGGAAAGGAAACATCAATGTGTAAGAGACACATAGATCCCTGCCTCTCCCACACCCCCAACTGGGGTGGGGGCGGGGGGGGGGCAGTGGCAAGGCAGGGGCACCAGCCACAACCCAGGCACCTGCCCTGACTGGAAACTGAACTGGTGACCTTTTGATTCACAGACCAGCTCTCAATCCATTGAGCCACACCAGCCAGGGAAAGTCTATTTGTAATAGCAAAAAACTGAGGGGGAGAAAATTAAGTGTTCATCAATAGGTGAATATATAAACAAACCAGTATATCCAACAGTATACTACTTAGTAAGAAATGGAATAAAGAACTGGTCCACAAAAAAATGGATCAATCTCAAAGCAATGTTCAGTGAAAGCAGTCTAAGGTCATACCATTATGATCCCATTTATATACTTTTCTAGAAAAAGCAAACTAATCTGCAGTGACAGAAAGATCAGACTGCCTGCGGAGCTGACGGGAGGGATTACAAGCAGGCAGGAAAACTGAGGGATCATGGTTATGTTCATTATCTTAATTGTGGTGATGGCTTCATGTGTGCCTATCAAAATGTCACATTATAAACTTTAAATGTGTTGCCAATTTTACCTCAGAAAAGCATCTTAAAGTCAGTTAATTTTATTGGAGGTTTTACTCCAGTAGATAAGGCACACCCATGAATTCATTTGAGATAAGTCTTCCTTAGGCTTCTGCTGAAATGAAGGTCAAAGCCCGTAAGCCTGAGTACCTACTACGGAGAGGATCTAAGGTGCCTGCCCTAAATCTTTAGGCCTTACCTGAATTCAAACTCTTACAACTGGCTATTTAACCTATAGTTTAACTGGTGTAGTGATATTTCTCCAAGTATCTTTTATAGACTTCATATAGGGAATCACCCTGGGATGCTTATTTCAAGACCTGGCTCCACACCTAAGATACTGTCAGCGAGGAGAAAGCTGGAGTCGGGAGTCTTACGGGAGTGTCTTAACGGGCGGCATGTGGCCCAACACCATGCCATAAATTTACATAAAACCTTTTTTTTTGCTCATCCGTTGTGTGTTAATACTGAGAAAACTCTTCTTCCAGTATGGCCCAGACACACCGAAAGGATGGACACCCCTGGTAGAGTCTGGGAATCAATTCAGCTATTTCAAGATTAAGGTATTTATTAAAATAAAAGCTCACATTATTTATTAAATTGTGATAATTTTATTTGTAACAGTAACAAAATATTTTTACACATATATACAAGTCATATTCATCTGCATAAAAATAGAAATATTTATACATATGTACAAAAATATTAAAACATACAAACTTTTCAAGCAAGAAAAACACAGGATTTCACAAAGGACACTTGAAAATATACACAGTGATAAAGAGGTTAAAGGAAGGTGACAAAACATTTAAATTAGAATCCAGAAGTCGATATTTTTTGGTAAGTCAAATAAAATGTGTCATGCTAACAGATGGTAAACAAAATTTAGATTTAAGATTGCCTGGGTAAAATTACATGACCTTCTTTTACTATAAAATTTAATCAGTTTTATTTTACCTCTGAATCAAATATCAGATGACTAGCTTTCTTTTTTCTTAAAATATTTAAATTTTCCAATTTATACTGAGCAGTTTTTCACATTAAATTATAAAATATTTTAAGAGGTTGTGCATCCTCTACTTAGTAGGGGGAAAAATCCCATGTATTACATTGATTTCAACATAAAAATTGAAAATCACAATACATTTATTTTTATTTAGTTTTTAAATTAAAACCTAACATTTTCTGACTAACCATGATCAGCTACAAAAGATTTTAATAGATCACAATCGTCGTAAATTTGTCTTGCTTTTCTTAGTACCAGGTAGAGGACCCATTTTATAACTGGCTTTTAAAGACTTGCCATTCAAACAGTCTTTGGTGGTATGATAATTACACAGACACCTTGTACAATAATCAAACCCACAGCCTTCTCGTTTGCAGATTGCCCGTTGTAAATAGCAATCATATTTTGCAGGTGAATTACAGCGAATACAGGCTTTGAGGCTTTCATTCTTTTTCAAAGTCTTGGCAACCTAGTTAAGAAAATCCATAAATAAATTTTAGTAAAGACTGAATGTAACTTAGGAAAAACTAGAATGGCACCTCTGTATCCTCCCCAATCCATGTAATAAAGCACTAATATCTCACATAAGAAAATTTCTGCCCTTAAGGAGCTTACTGTTCAATGGTTGAGAGATAATAATATAACTTACCAACCAGTCCAGCAGCATTTTCCTAATGCAACTTTTAAATATGTTTTTACTTCATGAATACTACTCACACAGTAATGCCTAACTTAAATGATCACCTTTTCGATGAAGTCTTCCTAGTGCTACTCAGCAGCTGGCTGCTTTTACCTCCGGTTTTGTTTTCTGAAAGCACCCACCATATCTTAGTACCTGATTAGAGAGCATGATGCTCAACACATGCTTTTTTGGATAAACTTACATATGAGGTAGTCAACATTTTATATCAAAACATGCACTTTTAACTATGGTTTTTAAATTAAGCTTGCAAAATTATCCACACATGAATAGAACTACAGTAATACACATCACCCAATGATTTGAAGGGTTAATAGGAGGCCTTAAATTTCTGGAAGTTGCCCTTTTTCTGCTTAGCTCACTTCCTAAGATATCAAGAGCAGCAATTGCAGAATATAATATTGAACAGCTTTATAATAAATCTTTAAATCAAGGTTTTTCATTATTTTCTTAATGTTTCCAAATTAGTTCAACATCACTAAATTGTCATAAACAATACCAAATTGTACCTATTATTTTCAGCATAGAAAGACATCTCTGTACTTTTCCAATTTATTAGTTGAGTTATAGTTCTTAATTCCCAACATTTTTGAGAATAGAATGAAGGTAACAGAAGATAAGGCCTCCATTAATAGTTCTAATTATACTATAATTAAATTTGAAGTTCTCCCTTTCTTATTCTAAATCCTTTTGACAACAAATGGCCCATATGTTTCTAATTTATCAATAAACAAAAAATTACCTCAGAGAATTCATTGTGCCGACTGTAAGTAGAACCTTTTTGATCAGCTGCATCAGATAACTTGCCTCGAGCACAGTTTTTGGAGGGAGGCTGGGCTGCCGATTTTTGAACAGAAGCCAGTGCAGTTCTGAACCGAACATATTCTCTGGTTGAAGCGTGTGAAGAAAACTTAATGTTCTTTTCCTAAATAAAAGTGTTTTAATATCACTTCAATTTATATACAAATGCTTAAACACAGTCACACAAAACTGTTCACATAGACATTTAAAGCCTAATAAGCCTATTAAGTTATTGACAGAAGTTACAAACCAGAAATTGCAACCACTTGACATCCTTAGTTGATACTGGATTTAAAACATGATTTATAAAGAACTACTGCCAGAACAAAGTTATTCTTCCCACCACCAGTAGATGGCAATAGTCACGCTTAAGTGTTACCCCCCGAGTCATGAATAGATTCAAAACTACCTTTTTGGCTTGGAAAAATTCCCATTAACACCAGCTTATTGACAAAGAAATTAAATTTGGAGAATTAAAGCAATACTAATCTAGAGTAACACAGCTAGGAAGTAACAGCACCAAAATTTGGACCTATGTTTGACAATTCCAAGGTCTGAAATTTTAATTATATATTGATCTTGAAGTATTTTAGAAAGTAAATGAATTCCCATCTATATTAACAATCTTCAGTATGTAAATAATATACTGTTTATCTGGTAAATGAAAAAACACACACAAAATGGCAACCTAGATTAGCTGTATGATCAGTGCACACTGAGAACTGAGTAATTTTTCCTCTTTTCACATTTGGACATTCCATTTTTAGGAATAAATGGTTGAAGTGGGATGAAGTGGGACTCCTTTCCCTCTACTTAGGAATTTTATGAGCTCTAATAAAAGTTTGAAGTGCATTTTGAATGTAAAGGATTTCCAAGTTACCTGTTATCTATTTTTCTCTTCATTTCTAATAGCAAAGAGCACTAGCTGCTATATTTTAAAATGAAAAGAACTGCAAAGACTTACAGTAACTCTTTGTACTGCTTTATTGTACAACTGCAATGCCCTGTTATCATCTTCTAGAATCTTCTTCCAAATTTTACTCACTTTAGACACACTGGAAAAGTAAATGAATATGAAGGACATAATTAAAGCATCACAAAGAGTAAGATGAATACATTACAGAAACATTAACAGTGCAAAAAAGAAATTTCTATGCTTCTCAAACTTGACTTTACATTAGAATTGCCCAGGGTACTTAAGATTTAAGGATGCCTCATGCCAAGTCATTTGGGTTTAATTGGTCTAAAATGGGGGCCAGAGTTATGTCTTTTTTTTTAAAGCTCCCCACGAAGTAACTCTAAGTGCATCCAAGCTTAAGAACCACCAAGTTGTACTTCATTTTTTTTTCACAATATCTAAAAACATCAAGTAAGTAGCTATCAGTGTATATATGGCACCATGTTAGCTATTTGGTAAAAGTTGTAGACAAATTTCCAAGTACTCTAAGACACACTGCTATCAGTAGAAATCAACTTGTAATGTTGATTATCCCTCAAGAAGCTAGCCAATAATCAAAATCAACTTACATATCTGTTTTGCTTTAGCTACATTTTATAAAGACTAGTGTAAATATTGAAAAAATTTTCAGAGTCAAAAATAACTCCAGTTGAGTTGAATCCAATCTAATCCAATTCTCAATTACCGCATCCTAACTTTCTTTGGGGGAATAAGGAAGAAGGGGTAGTTAGCACAAGGTTTCTATGAAATTGTCATAATCAGACCCATTTGTGAGTCACTGTATTTTCATTACTGTCAAACCTAGGAGAGTCCAGCATTAAAAATGGCCTCAAACTGATAGAAATTATTTCATATTTTCAAGTGTGACAAGTCACAATGATTAGAACTGTACACTAGAACTAAGCTGGTGTTTTATAGGTAAGTCCAAAAGATGTAGCTCACATAATAGATTTCAGAACCCAGAGAAGCAAAGATCCCAATCTAATAAAAAGTTTTCTAATAGCATAAATATGAAAATTGAAATACCTGGATTAAATGCGTACTTAAAAAAGTTATCTTTAATTTTAGTGGCACACAGGTAGTAAAGTACTAGCAATCAGGCAAGTCATTGTGTCAATGAAACAATGCAAAAGACTACCACATGTTTTAGCATGAGCTACTGGTGCCGAACCATTAGTTACAGTGATGCACTCAAAGCAACAATACTTACTTGACTAAGTCCATATCGCTGAGCTGTGTTAAAATATTTGCTAAGAGTTGTCTGAGTCCCCTTTGAAAGAGTTCATTGAGAATATCTACATATTCTAGGCCCATTTTTCTGCCAATTATATTCTGTATTATAAAACCTACATTATACTCTTCCTGCTTCTCCCAATCTATTTTAAGACTTCGTTTGGCATTCTTTTTTAATGTTGAACAAACCACTTTTGCACAATGAAGAGCTGGCAGCAAGTTTTTGTTGGGATATTGGTCTGGGCTTTGAGTCTGCAGCAGGCAAGATTGTGGACTGTCATTAAAATTTTCTTCCAGGGAAAGGCTAGCCTCTTCCTGTTCAACGAGGCCACTTTTTTGGGAAAATGAAGAATAGCCACTATCTTCATAAGGTCCATTGGTTTCTAGTTCTTCTATATCTATTTCACTTGAACTATTAAGTGTTGGTTGCACATGTTGATTTTCCTTGTTATGCAAGGGCTTGCTCACAGTTTCAAGTTCTACAGTCCTTAGGTTCACAATCGGTGATCCAATATCTGATAACCTTTCATAGTCTTTAATGCAGTCTTTAGAAGAATCTTCCAAACATGCAGAAGTGCCGGAACCTAACCTTCCACTGCCATCAGGTTTTACCAGTTTAAGTCCAGAATAAACATGCTTAAAGTTAAAATCACACTTCATTTTGACAGAAAGAGTGGAACTTTCTTCTTTGCAACCTATACAAAGAACATTAACATTTACTTAATAGCAAAATTTCAACATATCCCTCTCTCTTAAATTGGGATAAAAGATTTAATTTGCATCTCTCAGCACTGTGTATTGCTTAAGTAGCTATGAAATTACCTACATTTGACTTTCTGAGTCTAGTGACTAAGTAAAAAGTAGTGAAAGAGAGACTATTTCCTAAGTAGTTCTGCTTATGGAACAAATAATGAAATGGGAGTGGGGTCTCAAGTTAGAGATAACCTCACAGTAATTGAACAGTTGTAGAATCAGTGTTTATACCTTGATCTTGAAATGACATTGTATTCAGCTTTGACTTAGGCATGACTCAAAAAAGCCAGACTTGTTTAGGGTTTTATCATCACCCCAAAGCCTTAGAAGTAAGTTAAAATACCTTTAAAGCAGGCATTACACTATTAACATTTGGACAAGATGTACTGTATACATATATACAATATACATATTGTATAAATACATGTACATATGTATTTATAGAACTGATTTCAGTATTCAGAGAGTAGAAAAAAAATTAAGTGGTTTCATGACCTCTTGAATTAGACCTGCTGCCACTTCATTCATCCAATGCCTACTTAGTAATATGATGTGGAGAGAGGGAGAAATTAATCAGGAATCTTTTGGAGGTGATATTCTGAGATCTGAAAGTCTTGTGAAAATCTAGTAGAGTTCCAGACAGAGGTCAAAACTGGAAGCAAGGACAGGTGTTGAGTATTCAAGAAAGCAAAGTTCTGTAGAGCTGGAACTTACTGAGCTAGGTGATTGAAAAGTAAGGTTGGAGAGGCAGAATGGTTTATAGGGTTTTTAGGGAAGGATGGATTTTATTCACTGTGTAATAAAGAGCCTTTGAAGGGTTTTCAGTACAGATATTTGGTATACATTTTTTAAAAGAACATAGCAGCTGTGGAAATGGATTGTATGAAGGTACAAGTGGAAGCAGAGACTAGTTAGAAATATATATCACAAAATTCCAGAGTTGTGTACTTGAGACTTGATGACCATAGTGGAAATGAAAATAATTAAACAGATGCGCAATCTATTTAGGAGGGTTAAGTCAAAAGTCAACAGAACTTGCTGATGTGTTGGATGTGGATGATTAAGGAAAGTGGAGTAAAAAATACCCTGGGGTTTAAGTTTGGAGCATCTAAGATATAAAGTGTCATTTGCGAAGTTGGGGGAAAAACTGAGGAAGCTAACTTTTCCCTTGTCTATAAAATGAGGGTGAAAAGATAAAACTGGATATTCCTTGTCACGTATGGTCTAATCAACAGAACATACAGTGTATTTATCACATTACTTATAAGCCAAATGCCTTCATAAAATGGCAAAATACACTACAGACGTATGCATTTCATAGTAATATATACTTTTCTTAGGAAGGAGATCCAATTTCAAATGAAAAACCTTGCTCAGTCTTGACCAGTTTTTGTGACCTACAACACAACATTCAATTCGTCTTTCACTCTCATTTTCTCTAAAACGGATATTAATATCTACCTCATGGAGTTGGTAGATTCCACATACTGCATTTTTTAAAATCTCTCACTTACAATCCAATCATGAAAATGATACCATTAGTTAACTGTGCAAAAGGTAACCTACTTTTCATTATAGATCTGACACACCTTATTAAATAGACTATAGTGCTTAAAAAACTTTACAGCTATTCCAAGGTTAAATAATTAAGTTCTACAATCTCCAGTACCTTCAAGATAACCACCATGCGCCCAGCATTAGGTGTGGCTATTCCTTTAAAAATTTAAGAGCCTCAAGGCTTGCCGCCATAAACTGCTTATCAGCCACAATCCCTCAGAGAAATTTTAAATTCCATTTTCTCAAAATAATAAAAAAATTCAAGAGAACTGCATATATTCTCTTGAGGGGCAAGGTAGTCAAGAGACAACTGGAATAAAAAAAAAAAAAAAAACCCCTTCCATAAGCCATCAAGCTTCAGAATTTCACAGGGACACATGATCTAGGATCTTGTAGAAACAGATAAAACCTGTAAAACCTACGTATTTTTTCTCTCAATTCTTCCAGATTCCTTTTCTACAGAAATGGGCCTCTTCCAGAGATGACCAAGTATTACAATATTAGAATGGTGATTTTTAAAATTTTGAGTAATTTCTTAGTAAAAATAAACGCATTTACATTTCTTTTAGGGACAGCAACAAAGAGAGTAAAAATAAGCGTTTATTTGAGTGACTTTCATGCTATCCAAGTCTGGGATAAAAACAAAAACCAAAAAACTAGTGCTTCAGGAGCACAAGTTCGAAGAATAACCCATTCTTCAGTGCTCACAAAACCAGCTAAAAATATCTAAATTTATGGTTTCGTACTAAAAATATTTCCCCCTCCCTCCCTCCCTTTGATTCCAGGCCTTGAGACTGAGTTACTGGGTAAAGGGGGGAAAAAAAGGAGAAATTGAATGTTTTTGTTTGGACGTCCCCATGGTGCTTGGTTCGATGAGGAGGGGTCCCTGCATTTGGCGGGAGTGGGTGGGGGGAGACCCTGGAAATGCTGAGGGGTCGGCGAGGTGGCCCCTGAGGGCGCGGGCCCGGCGGAGGAGGCGGGAGATCAGAGCGAGCAGGATCTCCCGCGCCCGCGAGCAAGGCTGAGGTGGCGAAACACCCGGGGACAGGGTCTGGGGATCTAAGGGTGCGGGTCTGGTGAAAAGGGGAGCGCGGAGCGGGGGTCGGGCCCCTGGCCAGGCCCTGGGGGTCCCCCCGCAGAGCCGGGACCCCAGGTGGGGGAGGGGGACGGAGGGGGCTTTTGGCGCCCGTTCAGGCCGGGTGGGCAGGTAGATCTTCCACGCGCGGTTAGAAGGGCGCCCGAGGAGGCCTCCCCGCGCGCCCCCCTCGGCGCCGGCGTCCAGGCCCGGCGGGGCAGACAGGACCGGGCCCACCATCCCGCCTCAGCACATCTGGCTTCCCTCCCCGGAACCGCAGCCTTCTCTCTCCCGGCCCCAGGAGGCCCCGCGGCCGCCCGCCCGGGGTCCAGCGTGAGGCCGCACGCCTGGACTCGGGTCGCCGGTCCCCCACCCTCCAGCGTGCACCCCTCCTGGGACCTGGAACCCCCTCGCGCCCCCTCCTTTCACTCACTGTCCGAGGGACGAGGGCGCCTGGGAGCTGTCACGGCGCCGGCACTGCACCGGCAGGAGCTGGAAGGGGATCGTGGGGAGCAGCTGCAGGCGCGCCGGCTCATGCCAGTGTAAGACGGGTCCTCCTCAGGTGAGTCACCAGCAACATGGGTGGAAGGACGAGCCTCCGGCCTCACTGAGCTCTATCTTCTAAAAGGCGCCAGCTGGTACTTTTAAAATCTTTGAATTTGGTGCTCAAATCCGCAGGGCCCAATGCGGCGCGTCGTTCGCTGGCGCGCTCCAATGGGAAGGCGGTGGGAGGGGTCGCCCTCACCCGAACCCAATGGAAGGCTGCCGAGGCGGGGCCAGCCGCGAGGCCGACTCACCCTCCTCCTCCCCGGCTCCGAGCATCCGGAAGGATGCTGTGGACCAGGCGGGGCAGAAGGCGGGGCCTCGAAGGGCCGGGAGGCCGCGGCCCAGCCACACGTGGAGGGAGCCTACCACGCATGCGCCCAGGCACCCAGCTGCTGTCGTCTGTTGGGGACTGGCCTCCTGCAAGTCCCGATTTCATCTTGAAGGCAGCTCCGGCTTCTCTCTGAAGATCTCCGATAGGTACGAAGGGTAGCCGACTTTCTCCGATCATCTCATAAACTGGAGATTAATGAGCCGCGACTCTGGTCGTCCGGGAATGCATCCTTTCCGGAAGACGAACCCTCCCCCCAGCTCTACTCATCCCGCCTCTCTGGGATTTAGGCGCGCGCCTCTCTATCTCCTAGCTTCGCCCTCTTCCGGCCCAGTGCTTCTGCGCAGGCGCTTTTGGCGGGCGGTAGCTCCAGAGTTGGCGGGTTGGCGCTTGCGCCCTGGGGTCCCCCGCGATTCTCTGAGAGGGAAGGGCGAGGAGTTTGCAGCGGTGGGAGGGCCCGCCTCCCTCCTGGCGCGGTTACCTGGTTCCGCCTTCGCCGTGGCGGGAGACTGGGAGCTGGGTCCTCCTGGGTCCCTTCCGGCGGGTGGGAGGATGGGACGGGCAGGGACTTCGTTCTTGTAAGTGTATTTGTTTTCGACCACAGTTCTGCCATCGTTGTACCGTATGGGCCTTAAGCTTACTAAATTTCTATCTGCTCTCGGGGTTTTCTGGTTTGTTTCTTTCCTACAAGGGCCACGCGCAACAGATGGTAATCCTGCCCCCAAATAAATAAAACCGCCTGCCGTGGAAGTTCAGTCTCCACACCCTGGGGTTGGAGGCCCCTGGTCAAGGGAATGATTTTCTAGTGATGTAGGAATGGATAGAAGTACTCACTGTTAATGCTTCGATGACAAGTTGTGCTGTATTATTTATTCGTCCTGCCGAACGTTTTTCCACTTTTTGACCACTCAAAAGCTGCGACAGTGCATTCCTTGGACTCAGCTCTGGCCATAGAGCAGTGATGTCACAGCATATAAACTCCAAAACTCCGAAACCCTGTGTTTTGCTATTTTACTTTGCTTTTCTGCAGCTTCAGGGAGAATTAATACTTGGCTTATAGTAAGCGTTCAGTTACATCGGTGTCGGGTCCTGGATGAGGCAGGCGGAGGGTGGGGGGGCGGATCAGGATGGGTAGGGATCTGGGTGAGCCATGCCAGTGCAGGTTGGAGCCCGTTTTTACGTGAAATTTTATTAGTTCATCGTGGTTTTGATATTAATTTTTATTTTTTAGTATATTGTATTAAATTAGTATTTGTCTTGGTTACTGAAATTTTGGGCACCCCTTAAATTTTGGACCTTTAATCACGTGTCTTGCCTTACATAGCCTGGTCCTGGTACTAGGTCCTGGGGTTGAAAAGACTAAAGTTCTGCCCATCAGGGAGCTTAAATACTAACTGGAGAGAAACTGGGAATTAATTTCGGTAAATGAGAGAGAAACCTAAAAGAACAAAAAGAGATACAGAATGGGCAGCAGGAGCATTGATTAATGACTTTGGGTGGTCAGGAAGCTTTCTGAGTTTTTGACTAACATCTGAATGTGCAGCTGTCAATGCAGGGATCTGCATGATAGGCAGAGGGAGAAACTGAAAGTGCGTGGCTTGTTCCAGGGCTTGAAGGATATCTAGAGGGCACTGAGCAAGGAAGACAGTAGGGGAAGAGGTGAAAGAGGTAAAAGCCAGATCCTGTAGGACTTTGTAGGTTTGTATGTAGAGTTTAGAGTTTCTTCTGATTGCAACGGGTAGTTTTTGAAGGGATTTTTAGTAAGAGAATGATTTGTTGAATGAATATTAAAACTATAGTAGCTTTTTACCTACTAAGCACTTTGGAAATGTTAGCCTTTAATTCGCACATTAACCCTAGCATTTTTATCTTATGATTGTGCTTAGAAGTGTAAGTTAATTCCCACAGAACCACATAGCTAGTGAGCAAAGACTCCGATCTGTCTGCAGGAAACCATGTAGTTCCCTCTATGTTCTACTGAGGACTGATGTTTGCGGAGGCCTGATTGTTTGTAGTATGTTTTCACATTACTTTCCCGTTTGACCTTAGAGATCATCTTTACCTTTTATTTTCAGTTGCAGAAAAATATGTGAAATTTGAGGGGAGGAGAGGTTCCAGTTACATCTATCCAATGTAACATTGGGTAGTCAAATACACCTAGTTACTGTAGGACTTTTTATAGAACAGAAAGTTATGAGAGGTCAGCCTCAGCTCCGTTGATATTTTGGGCCAGATACTTCTTTGTTGTGGGGGGCTATCATGTGCAGTGTAGGGTATTTAATAGCATTCTTAGCCTATAATTGACTCTCATCCAGTTGTGTTAACTCTCTCCAGACATTGCCAAATGTCCCTTAGGAGGCAGGATTACCTGTAGGTGAGAACCACTCGTGGAGGGGATGATTTTTGAGAGAATGGAGAGGCAGGAGGACGTCCATGGCATGAGACACAAAATGGGGGAAAGTTACATGCAGGTGCATTTATCAATAAAAAATAGGTACTTTGATATGACATAAGGAAGGGTGGGTATAAAGTGGGCCGATAAGAAATGATTCTGGATACAGGTCTGGATGTCTATGCGCTCTTAAGAACTGGAGTTTTATATGGGAGGCAATGGGAACCTATTAAGCTGTTGAGCAAAGGAGCGACAGCATGAGAGCCTTGCTTTTCAGGAAGACGAGTCTGGCAGTTACGCATATGTAACCTGAATTAGCAATAGAGGATACAGTGAGAAGTCAGGGGACTATGAAGATAGTTTGTGAGAGAATTAATCCTGGACCGGAGTAGTGGTAGTGGAATTGGAGATGATGAGGGTGTTTAGTAGGAGAGCAGTACTCAGCAATGACCGATATGTGAGGAAGAGGAATCCAAGGGGACTGCATTTTAAGTTTGAGAGGGAGAATGGTTATGCCATTAAAGAAACTGAGATCGCACAAAGAGAAATGGGTTACAGAGGAATATGACAAGTTTCTTTTAAACAGTGTGATCATCCGTTTGTACATCTTCAAAATTCTCATTCCAGCTGAATGACTTAACTGGGGTTGTGGGCCATTTTGAAATTGAGTTTTGTTTTCTTCTGAACAAGACCAGATTTCTAGAGAAAGGCTTCAGTTATAACTGCCTTTTAGACGTCTCTCTAGTGGCTATTACATGGCATGATGTTAGGTCCTGAAGACCCAAGAACGAAGAACGAACAAACAATTTTGTCTGCCAGTGAGAGGTCGAGCAATGCGAGTTTGTTCCATTCTCCGACTCACCCTTTCCCATTTCCTTAGTAAGCACACAGTCCTGAGACAGGAGTAAACGAGTGAGTGTATTCCCTTGCCATAAATGTTGTCATACAGGTATGGTAAGTTGCTATGGAATACCAATGAAAGGCCATTACTCCTGCCTAGATGCTAAGGAGCCCTTTAGGTTGGGCCTTGAAATCTGTCTGCAGAAGTCAGCACTTTTCTAGGCAGAGAGGGGCAGCGTAAGCAGGTAGGGGTGACAACGCATGGTTTATACGTCAGGCAGCTGTGTAGATGCATTGTTTGTGCAAACAGTTACACAATTCCAAGGCTCTTAAAATGTTAGAATTAGGGTCCCTGTAGACTTCATGCCAAAGTTATGTTTTTCCACCCTTTTCCTGGGTTTCAAAAATTTCATGTGATCATCTGGGATTAGCTATGGTAGTAATAGTGAGTGAAGTGGGAGCCAGTATCAGTTCACAAACCAGAATTTGTCCATTATTTGGCATGTGTTCATAGTGCACCTACTGACACATATCTAAAATTCATATTGTTAAAATTACCTAGGTATTATGATTTTTTTTTTTACTGAACTGTGAGGTTCTAATGGGCAGGAAATTTAAAAATTGATGAAGAGCTTTTTTTCACTTTCATTAGTATAGCCCTCATACCTTTTCACTTGGGATCAGGGAGTGAGGGAGTGGAGCAGGGTAGGGGGAAGTAAACTTTCACTGTCTCTTCCTTGCTTACAGAATGAAACACAGTATTTGAGACCCTTCACAATCGCAATCCAACTTTCTAATTATTACCTGTTAGAAAAGATAAAGAAAAATGACTGGTCCATCCTAGGAGGAAAATAATAAATCTGGGGTATGGGCTTGCATTGGGCCTTATGCAGACGCTGAACGTGGTTGAATGAGCATGTCTTGCTGTGTTCTTTAATTGCATAGGTCAATGAAAGGTACATCCATCAACTATTCTTGTGAGGGCAGAATGCCTTTGGTGAGCAGCATATGGCAGGGAGAGGGATTCTCTTCAAATTAAAATTCTCTGATATATTTGATAACCTTTGGCTACCTTTAAATTTCTAACCTAACAGTTTTTTAACTTTATTACACCTCCCATCTAAAGTAATAAGGTGAGAGAATAAGTTATCAATATAAAATTACTTTGAAAATTAGCACAAACTGAGGCTGTTAAGGAAATAGTAAAGGTTGACTTGAGGAGGAGGAAATCCATTACCCAACAATAATGTAGTTTTGAATTTATTTAGTACATATGCTCATAAGAATTCAGACTTCTGTTGATTTCTGACAAATATATGGAAAAGTGTGCAGTTTGGGGAGTTAACAGATGCCTCCTAATTCTTTAACATTGTAATCATATAACCTTAGTAATGAAATCGTTTTCTCTGGAAATCTTACCTTGTGACTAGAAGTTGAATGTTTATTTATTACTGCTAGGTAGAACTCTTACAATTGTAGTCCTTAGCTTACCCCATTTTTTCAAAAAATTCGAGCATTTCCAGCTTTTCTCACTTCTTAGTGGGATGGCAGGCATGTGCTGTAGTTCTTTCCTTTCTTCACACACCGTGGGGGAACCTTGGGGTGTCTCCTCTTTATCAAGCACATTATTCATGGTGGCTTTCAACTCCAACGTCTTTAACAGCTATGCAGCCACAAGCAAACATCCCTGGACTTTCCTTCCCTCTCAGGCCCGGTTCTCTGGAGTCACTCTTCTCAGAAAAGAGGTGATGATCATATCCAGGGTTCCCATGAGAAGAGAAGCAACTCATTTCTTGTATTAAATTAGTGACAAAGAAACATTGACATAGGATCATACCATTGTAGCTGTACGCTCACTTTTAACAGTAAATTCTCAATTCACATGGGTCAATTTTCTCAATTCACATGGGTCAGTTTGTCTCATCAGAGAACCTGATGCATCTCTTACATCAGAGTATTCAAACCTCGCTTATTTAAGGGTGTATTTTAATAACAAAAATGTGAAGTCATGGGAAAGGGAGGAGGAGTCTTAAGCTCTGACTTCCAGTTTGTGGGAAATACTGTGCAATGACACCAATCCTGGTTTGAAGAAACCAATTAAGACATTTTGGGGAGAATTGGAGGAAGTCGAATTGGGTATTTGAAGATAGATACTAGAGAATTATTGTACATTTTGTTAGGTGTAATGATAGTAAATGAAGTAGAATGTCTTTTTAAAATTGAAGCTGAAATATTTAAGGGTGAAGTGTTAACTTTTAACACTAAGCAAATATGAAAACATCAAGTTTTGAAACTAGGTGATGAGTACAGGTGTTTGTGCCAGTTACCAATTTTATTGCCCCTCAGCAGCAAACTTCCCCCTTCATCGCCTTGCTTTTGTGATACGGAACCTGGACCTGAAGACGTCTCTTCTTTGCCAGCTGGTACTATGTTAAGTTTTGTCAGAGGTGGTGGAGGGACAGACAGCACAGTCAAGGAAGGAAGGGACGAGGAAGGGACTTGTCATGTTTCCATTGTGCTTCCTCTCCCCTTGTTTCTAAGGCGTAGCTGCCAGAGTGCTCTTGGAAACTGAGGGTTACTGGTTAATTTTATGGGTCAACTCAGCCAGGCCACAGGGTGCCCAGATGTTTAGTCAACATGCTCTGGGTGTTTCTGTGAAGGTGTTTTTGGATGAGATTAACACTTAACATCAGTGAACACTGAGTACAGCACATGTCCTCCATAATGTGGACAGGGCTCATCCAATCTGAGTCCTGAGAAAAACAAAAAGACTGGCCTCCCTTGAGCAAGAATGAATTTGCCAGCCAACTGCTGGGAACCACGGCAGCAGCTCTGCTGGCCCACACTGCAGATTGTGGGCCCCTAACTTCCGTAATCAAGCGACCCGGTTCCTCATGATGAATTTTTGTATGTACACATACATCCTCTTGGTTCTGTTTCTTTGGAGAACTCCGATAAATGCAGACACAACTTTTGCTTTTGCTGATACCCTGGTGGAGGCTTCTTATCAGTCTCTGAGGGTTGGAGGGCTCTGTCTGCCAGGCCTGATCTGCCACCTGCAGAGCAGCTCAGAGGGCAGCCCAGAGACCTTTCCTGTCACCTGGAGCTGTTAGCGACACCCTCTCCACCTTCCGGGAGTGTTCTTTCCTTGGATACTCTCAGTCCTAGTGTGTCAGAGTTCTCCCCAACAGCTAGTCCCATCATTTAAAAAATTATATTAGTTATCCCCGTTAAAATTAATGGTATGGTTTCTGTCTCCTGAGTAGACCCAAATACAGCATTTACTATCATATTTCTACTATATTACATTTGAAGTGTTTCATAATAGTTAAACCAGTTTTTGATCATTCAGTATTTTACATAAAACAAAGATTGATTTTCCTTTGTGTACTTTTAAGGAGTCCAAAATATACAACCAGAGCCATGATTATATTGTAGGTATATTTTTTACTAATACATTGAGATACGATTTACATTAACTGTCTTAAAATATACATTACTTCCAACTGTTAACTCATGTTTTTTAAAACAGTACTGGTGATAATTTACACACAATGATTTGTAGTAGAATTTTTGTAGGTTGTGAAAGTCTTTAATTACAATTCAATTTAAAGTTTTTTGGAAATAACTTCTACTAAAGATTCATAATCAGCATAGTCTTTCAATGACTGTACAAGTTCATCCAGTAGATATTCTCCTTGCATAAAAGTTTCAAGATCATGAAGTGACTTGTTTATTCTGTGATCTGTGACCCGATTCTGTGGAAAATTATATGTTCTTATTTTTTCTGATCTTCCTTTACTTCCAACCTATATACATATATATAAGATATGAGATAGTTAGATTCAGTGCAACTAAACTTACAAATTTAACATAACTGGAAATTAAGCCCTTGCTTTATAATTTGAAACACAACATAAGAACCAAGTTTTAACGTGACTCCTCAAATAACAAGGGAACATGACAGGGAAAAAGAACATGGGCTATGAAGTCAGAGAGATTAATGTCTGAATCCTCTCTCTTCCATTTCAATCCTCCATGACTTCGGGCTATTTATTTCAACTCCAAACTTTAGTTTTCCCACCCATAAAAGAAAGAATGCCTACTACACAGTGATGTCCAAATGGTAAACTAAATTATCTAATCTGTGAACTTGTCATCTTCAGTGATGACAAAGTGGTGAATTTCCCATTAATATGGTATTAATAGAAGATCTCTATAGTTACTAACAGGAAGAAAGTTCAGTTTGCTTTCCATCATTCTTCTATAATTTTCAGAATGGACACTCCACATACCTTTTTTTAATAACATTAAAAGTCTGAGAAAAATGCCTTTGACTATAGAAAACAGCATAAGATTACTATAAACAAGTATAGTTCTTGGCAGAGCAATTTGAATTGTTTCCTTATTTTGACAAATACATTGGAACAACTGTAGCATATATAAAAATTGGATCATTTAAAAATACGTTGTTTATCCTTTAGAAGTATTTTTTCAATTCAGTTTTACCTGAATCTTTCTAGCATTGTATCTTTTATTTGTTTCTTCTTCTAGATACATGCTGTATAGCTTTGCACGTAACTTTTTCATGGCCATCTCTTTATTTTTCAGTTGAGATCTCTCTTGTTGGCATTCAGAAACAACACCTGAATAGTGTTACGAGAATAAAGAATTTAATTTAAAAATCTTTTTCCTTTATTACTAAGGAATACTCCTTCCTTTTCATCCTTTAACTTCTTCCTTTAGGAGGATACAAATACGATTCTAATATAAAAGGAAGACAACAAATAACTCTTACAGTTATCAGGAAACTCAAAATTTAAGTTTGAACTCTAGTGTAAAGTATTTCCATTGAAGGCATACATATTACACATTAAGTATTAATCATTTAATGTGGATTGCTTTTCCATACCTCAACCAGCCACCAGAATTTTTTAAAAACTAACTCCTCATTGCCTTGACTGGTATAGTTCAGTGGGTTGGGTGTCATCCCACAAACCAAAATTCATGGCCGGGGCACATACCTAGGTTGTGGGCCAAGTCCCCAGTTGGGGGCATGCAGTAGGCCACCAATCTATGCTTTTCTCCCTCCACTTCCCCCCTCTCTCTCTAAAAATAAACAAAATATGAAAAAAAACTCATAATAGAAACAAAAATACAAAAAAAAATATTTAAAAGTCCTATTACCAGAGATAATCATTATTAATGTTTTTGAGGCTTTTCATCCATTTTTTTCTACTCTATATACTATGTATTACATAAGGCATCATCTTAAAGTTTAACATGAGGATTTCCTCATATTTAAGAAAACAGAAACACATCAATCCATCACTCTAATCAACCTCTACTGATCAATGGGAATCATGCCTATTTGAGATAGGTCATTGTAACAGGTTCTTGTGTTCTCTTTTCTAGATAACTCAGGTTTGCTTTCCATTTGTTCTTTATCTCATATACTGTATTTTGCCATGTATCATGTGCTCCTGTGTATAATGTGTATCCACGTTTTTGTGCATGTTCTACATGGGATCATTTCATGTATTATTATTCCCATGGTATGTAATCATTATACCATGTGTAATGTGCATCCTTATTTTTCCCTCAAAAATTTGGACAAAAAAGTTGCACTACACACAGCTAAATATGTTAAATCACTGCAGTTCTACCTAATAGTATGAAGCCTTATGAAATATTTATATAGTTCCATTGTCTATCTAAAATCAGAACCATTAGAGGTCTGTGGGTGGACTTAATGGAAATAAAGCCCCTGAAATCATATGTAAAACTTTGCACACAGGCATGTTTCTGGGTAGCGGATCCAAACTTTCATTTTCTCGAGGCATCCTTGTCCTTTCAAAAAGAAAAAAAAAAAAAGCTAAGAACTAGTGATTTAAAGCATTTTCTGATAAAGAAGAACCCATGATAATGACTTTACAATAAGCATTTTTTTAAACAGTGATATCTACTAAGTATATAATTGAGAAGGCTTCCTGGAAGGACTGGCTATAGCTTCTCTTCATAGTCACCAATAGGAAATTCCCATTTAGATTCCTTCATGTTCCTGGCTTTGCAACTACCCTGCAGAGTTGCAGGTAAGGACTCTAAACAAACCAAATATTTAATAACCCTTAGAATATATTCCTCTGGAAACTGAGGATCTATTTCAGTGGAAAATTAGTGAAGTCACTGAGGATTTGATTTCTTCAGTGTCTTATGTTGAATAAGTACGTACGTACCTGTTGGGAGATGAACTATTCGGACAGCGCTGTCGGTGGTATTTACATGCTGCCCGCCAGCCCCACTGGCTCGCTTCGTATCAATTCTCAGTTCTTTAGGGTTAATCACTAGGTTAATCTGTATACATAAAAGGAAAAGTTGGGATTTAATGATATTACATGTATGAAGTATTCAAAGGCAAGAACTATCCATTAATATGTTGTATATAGAATTTATGAGACTTAAAAGGTTTAATTTTAAGACTAGAAAGTAGTTGGACACCATTTTTTAAACTTTTCTTTTTGGAAGTGTAGCAGATTAAAATATACTACAAGAATAACCTCCTAATCCTCAAAAGTGGGACTTCTCTGTAAATTACCTTGTTCTTACCACATGAATGGAATTTAAGTTATTATTAGAAAAGTATAAGAACTAAAATGAGATTTGGTAGGATATTTCATTCAAAAAGACTTTAGCAGGAAAACTACAATGCTAGTTTAGTAACTATAGGAAAGGCTTATTTTGCTTATTTTGAATTAAAGGGGGACTTAAACATATTTGGAGGCAGAGGAGAGACAAAGAGAAATGACAAAGACTTAATCCATAAATACACTGGGATCTGACATCAGGATGCTGCTGTCCGGGGAGTCACCATCAGAAGCACCAGATTTAAGAAGCTCTGTGTCACGAATAACTGTGGGCCACTCTGCAGCGTGGCTGCAACCCGGCAGCAGGAATCCTAACCTTCAGAGGCCTCCCATGGCCCCCTTTATGGTTGCTGCAAGAATTAAATGATATGATACATGGACCTCAGACTCCCATCTTCCATTGAAAACTTCTGTCTTTCACCCCCAAGAAGCTTAAACCAAAGTGACTAGTATCTAGGTAGGTATGGCTCCTGTTAGACAGTCAAATTGCACTTTTCCCTGAAATTAATAAAGAGAAACCCTCAAACTTTTCTCAAATCATTCATACTTCATTTTGAAAGACAAGTCAAATATTTCTTATAACTTTTCTGTAGAAGGGCTGTAAGTAAGCAAAGCAGAACTTCCCAACTATGTTATTCTACAAGTATTGTATAAACTGAGAATTTTCTGTGCGAATAAAGTACACTCATTTTGACCACTATAACAAGATTTTTCCATTTTAATATGACTAGGTAATGAAGTAGTAACTCTGTTGAAACAGGAGTCTTGCTATTGACACTCTGAGAACCATTCAACACTGAGCAAAAAAGTCATTATAAAGGTAAACACTATTTAAAGTAGGCTAGTACTGTCTTCTGTAAAGATGGCCTCAGTATAACTACTTGAAGCTTAGTGGTAAAGTTAATAAATAGACGATGCATGATTAAATCATTTATATATTCTTAATCTTTAGCATCCATTATAAAAGCATACTTATTGGACTGAGATACCAGATTCTCAAAAATAACTCAAAATATGTGATGAAGGCCTAACGATAAGAAAAGGAGCTGCGCAGTTGAGTAGAGTGGGCGTTCCCACCGGGGCCAGGATTCCTGGGCGAGGGGACTGCGATGCCGTACCTCCGTGGGCTGCGGCAGTACCGCCACGCTCATGGTGCTGGTGTGGATGCGGCCCTGCTTCTCTGTCTTTGGCACTCTCTGTACCCTGTGCACACCTCCTTCAAACTTCATGTGCTTATAGGCTTCTGAACCCCCAATGCTGGCAGATGCATGTCTGAGCCCACCTTGAAAATATTGGAAACACGGAATTCTTTATTATTCTTTCCATTTATAAACATTTCACCATCATTTCAACCATCTTGAGATATAGTTAAAAGAGTTACAAAACAACCTATAGGTGGTAAAACTATATTGAAAAACTTTTAACAAGTCTATAACAATCAGTGTTCTAATACTATCATTATTGCTTATAATTATCAAAAATAAAGCATTTACGGTGTCAACTGACACAATAACATTTAAAAACACTTTTAAAAGACAGTTATTCATTCAGTGGTTAGTACTGAATGACTAACATTTTATAGACCCTTTCAAAATCGGTATATTTGTATTCAAAATTATTAAGCTAATGATGAGCATAAAACTGCTTAAGCATCCTCACAGATAAATTCTAAAGCCTGGTATTTCCAACCCTTTTCTCAGGACATATGTAGATACATCTACACTTTCCTGAAAACGAACAGTTCACTGACCTATTTCACTTGGAAAATACTCCAGGGTTTCAAAATGCCACCTTTTAAAGGCAGCATATTGCTGGTACATGTCGAATATCTCCGAAGTGAACAGCATGGCCTCCTGACCCCCAACTCCTGCAGTTACCTCCAGGATCAAATCATTTTCATCTGTTTCTTCTGAGGGAACCAAAAGTAAGATAATCTGTAAATAAAAAGGTATCACTCCTTCTATCATTAAGAATTACATAAACCTTAAGAGGTAAATGATTAGATGCAGGATTTTAATTATTTAATTTATTTAAAGTTTCTTTAAGCAAATTTAATATTGCTGATTACTGTGCAACCATCTTGCCAATTAGAACCATATACTCATAATTTCTAAAAAATATTAGTGTTAAATTTATGTTATACATACTATGAGGGTCAGCTAAAACTAACAAATGATACAATTTACATGTTTGTTAATTACTAGCCAATAAACCGAAACTTTGAATACACATGACTTTTTATTTCACAACAAAAAAAATGGGGAGACGGCAAGTTACACGAGACTTTTGGCTCTACGGTGGCACTTTCCTTCTTGAGCAGGCCATGGGGACACTCATCTTGGATGAGTCCCACATCTGGCTAGAGAAGAGACAGCATCTCTAAATTAAGCGCTCCCTTTCTGGACTCGCCTCACCTCGCCACGTTCCTTCGCTTACATCCCCAGAGATAGCTCTGATCTACTGAATTAAAAAAGAGTGGTTCTAATTTTATATGATGACTGTTCTTCATTTAATTCCTATATGTTCTGCAGTTCTCCTAGATCTAAAACCAAAGCTCTACGATTCAGTTCTAAAAGTCCTGAGGGCCTCCTCCAGGTCTGGCACTCGAGCAGCGCCAAAGCCACGAAGATGAAGTGGTCCTGCTCCCGAGGGGCACAGTCTGCCCTGGCCCATAAGCTCTTCTACTCCCTGCCTGCCCCACCCTCAGCTCTCTGAAAAAACAAAAGGGGATACAGAATACAAAGATTTCAGGCCTTTCTGGCAAATCCTATTAATGTAACATTCATCCTTGTGCCAAGGCTCTATAATTCCTTTAGTATGATAAAAAGAGAAGATCAGGGAGTATGCTTTTCCTGCTTTAAAGATCAGTTAGTTTATAACCCTAAATACTAACAAACTAAGTCCTCCGTTGTTTTTATTAACCTATAATAAAATTCATTAGAAGTAATAGCACTAATGCTTTAATCTTTGTACAAATACTATACCTGATGCTTCAACTGAGCTATTTCTTTTTGACACGAAGTTATTTCATTCTCTGCAAGTTTCCTTAAGTCTTCGTTTTCATCTAAGAAATAAAAGCAGTAGGTTAAGTCCTCCTTAATTAGTGTTAAACTGTCAAGAGAATTCAAGGAAATAATTTTATTGTTACTTGTAGCTGGAGGGAAAAATAAAATGTCTTATACTTTTAATAACTTCCATTAATTAAAAATAGCATTAGTTTTCATAAGCAACATAGCTTTAAAAAAACAGATTTTTTCCTGATAACAAAAGAAAGCATAAATGAAATTTTTAAAAAATATATACAAAAATATAAAGGAGCTATTAAACTTTCCTATAATTCTACCTCCATGAAATATTCATACTAACAAATACGCTTTTAGTGTTCCATCTTAGTCTGTACAACGACAAATGAATGGAGTTAGTGAGACCAGAAGGGGAACAGTTTACATCAGTTAAACCAAAACTGAATTAAAAAGTGGAAACATTTCTTGTCTTATTAGTAAATATTTCATTAATATAAAGTATCTAAATCAAACATTTAGTCTCTATCTAATGTTTACAGAATGTTTCCATGAAGTTTTCCCTCTCCCCCTCTTCTATTTTATTCTAATTCTTATTTCATCTTCGAGATTTCATTTTTACCTTTCAAAATCTACCCTATGGACCACATGCAGCCTATAAAAAGAAGGGGACTTTTTTTAAAGCTATTACAAATTGCTCTCTGTTGAAAGAGCAAACTCTTACAAGTATCATCTTGTTTGTTCAATGATTAAGACCCAGCTATGCTGGAAACTGGGGATAATAGTATATAAGTCAATATTTGAGATAATGTTAGTTTGTTTATATTTTTCTAGGGAAGAAAAACAATGTAACATGCTATGTGATTAAATATTAAAACAATAGCACACAGAAGGATTTTTTTTTTTTTTTTAGTTTTGGATGGGCAGAAAGAGGAAAAATGATTAATTCAAGGAGAGATAATGACAACAGATAAGCAAGCACAAAAAGTTGGTGGTGGAAAGGCAGGAAATTATTTTGGCAAGAACTTGGTTTAGAGAAATTTGGGGAAGTGTTAAATATGTTGACTCAGAAAAAGGAAAAATTCAATTCAATTCTAATCGTAGATCAACCCCCACGGTTCTCTTAGGGGAGCGCCCAACTTCACTGAATCTAGAGGGTGAAATAAAGGATACGAGCTGGATGCTCTGTGAGGTGCCTTTCAATTCTGAAAGGCAGTGTTCTGTAAGGCTAATAAGGTTGGAACTACAGTCCAGAAGTAATTTAACTTAATTTAAATAAACAAATTAAATTTCAGCCACCAGGGTCTCTGAAGAATACTCCAATTCATCCTCAACACCCAATGCAAACATTAATTGTTCTTTAAAAAGGTATCATTCTCTGCTTAAAAACCAAGCTAACTTCCAAAGGTCTACAGGAACAAATCCAGGTACTCCGTCATGCAAGTATTTGCATGCAAATAGTGTGTAACTATTCTTCTGGTTTCAAGTTAATGACATCAACTCCCACACTTAATCTACATTCCTGACATACATTCTCTCCCAACTTGGTCCTTTATCCTACTGTTCACCTGTGCCTTCGATTCCTTTGTCTTATACTAACTAGCTGGCAACTTCCTGCTTATCCTTTAAGATCCATTTAAATGCCAGCCTTTACTTTTTTATAACACTCTGCTCATTATTGCAGAAATTAACATAAACACACATCACTTTTATTTTTACTTAACTCCTTAAACTTCTCTCTTCATTAGGTTCTAAGTGCCTAAAAAATAGTTTCATACTTTTTTTTTTTTTTTTTTTGGTAATTGGTGGTGGTATCTGCCATGTAGTAAGAACTCAAGAGTTGCTGATATTTTCTGCTGTTTTCAAGCAGAATTGCCTTCTGCCAGCACCAACTTTTTAAAAACTGATTTGAGAGAGAGAGAGAGAGAGAGAGAGAGAGAGAGAGAGACACCGAGTTGCCGCCCCACTTACTCATGCATTTATTGGTTGACTCCTGCATGTGTCCTGACCTGGGGTAGAACCTGAAACCTTGGCCTATCTGGACAATGCTCTAAACAGCTGAGGTACCCGGCCCGGGCTGCCAGCAACAATTTTCTAACATCATGTTAAATTCTCTATAGTTTGATTTTTAAAATAGTTAATCCTTAAATCCACTTAGATTTTAAGCCTCTTGCATTTAAAGCTTGGCTTACGTTAATGAAACCAATTTAGTTTTTCTTCAAAGGATATTTTCCCCAATATCCTTAATATTTTTTTTTAAACACTCTAGGCATCTGTCTTCTAAGTCACTTAATTTAGACTCTCCTTAACTCTCACCTATACCACTGCACTAGCCTTCTGTTTCCCACGGCATCTTCTTTTTCATTCCAGGCTGCCTTCTAACCGCCACAAATCAGGCCTCCTAAGCAACAGAACTATTTTTGAACATTCACTCCTCAATCTAAAAGCTTCTGCTGGCTACCTTCTGCCAACGGGATAAAAATCAACCCTTTTAATATTAGTGTTTGACCATCCCCCTTTCCCCTGTACAAAATGGTGCAATCTGCCACTTTCCATAATCTCACCCTTGGTTAACAAAGAGTACGATGATTAAAAGCATCATGTCTGAAGTCACTGTGATCCAAACTCCGTTTCTGAAAAGGTGTGTAACCTGAGCTGTTATTTTACCTGTTGCTTCAGGTTCCTCTTCTGTCACAGGAGGCTACTGGTATCTGCTAAACAGTTTGTTATATAAACTGTATGAGTTAATACCTAAAGCAGCAAAGCCTGGAGTATGGTAAAGGATCAAAGGTTAAACTGTTACTATAAGCTCTAACGGTGGCCCTTTGTTCTTGCATAAATCCTCCCCAACGAGCTTTCCTTGCTTTCCTAGGTCTATTTAAATATCTGTTCTCATTTGTTGGCTGTATTATAATTCTTTCCCCAAATAGATTGTGGCCCCCACTCTACAGCCCTCTAGAGCTCGGCATCCTTAGGAGCTCACAGATGGAGAAATCTAGGCCCCATCCAGAACGAAGGCACACTAATTACTTGGGGAAACTTGTTAAAAACACGTTTTTCTAGGTCTTAGATTCTGAGTCGTTTGTCTGGCGTTAGCACCCACCTCTCCTATCACCACTCAAGGTGGTCCTTTTACCACACTTTGAGAAACACTGCTCTGGGGCCGCATACAGGGATAGTGCCAGAATACGCAACCAATAAACGTCAAGTGAAATACTGTAAAAGGGGGCGGGGCACTATCAATGGAACACAAGGACTCAATTCGGAGAAGCCTGGCTTCCTGGGAGCGCTCCAAGATTCGTACACCAGGTTCTTCCAATCCCCGCCTGCCTCGGGGTCGGGGAGCCTACCCACCTGGTACTCGAAAAGAGCTCTTGAGCCTGGAATCTTGGCATAGGTCCAGGGAGCGGGGGCAGGAAAATAGGGCGGGGGGGCGCGAAGAGGGCAGTAAAGAGATGTGGCCTTGTTACAAACAAAAACCCCGCACATTAGGATACTTTGACCTCCGGTCCAAACCAAGAAGGGCTGCAACTGAGTAAAGAGCTTCACACTCGGGGACAGTGTAGACACTTGACCAGCAGCTGAGTGGAAAAGGCAAACGAGGAGTCAGGGATCTGTTTTGAATCCCGATTCCCTGGGCCCGGCCCTTACCTTGGAGTAAGTGCTCGGTCTCGTGCAGCTCCTGCTCCTTCTCGCTCAGCCGTTTAGCTTTGGCCACCAGCTCAGGCCCCCTGACCTGCAAATGGCATTCAGACACTGCCAGGCGCTCCAGGAAGGACCGTAAGGGCCCGCCGCGGACGAACAGCTCCTCCAGCGGTGGGCTACCGCAGCTTAGGTGCCGGCGGGCCGGGGCGACAGCTGGGCGGGCCCAAAGACACCTAGCGACACTCCACAGAAGCGGGAACCGCATCGCTAACCCTGAATGCCCAGACAGACCAAGGCCGGAAGTTTCGAACAGAGCGAAATCTCAGGACTCCGCGCGGGGTTTGGAACTAGGGGCGAGACCTCACCAAGTCCCGCCCAGTACACGAGCCGGTTTTAAAGGGCCTCCAGGAAGCCTCTGTAGGAACTTCCGGCCAACTATTTAAAGTCCCCAGTAGTCGAAGAGGCCGGAAGTGGAGGGTGCAGAGCGGAACTGGTAGGGGTAGGTCCGGGAGAATTTGGTACACCTTCTCTAAACGGTGGTACAAACAGCTCCACGAACGTGCGTGGCTGGTGTGTGAGCAGGAAGGGGAAAGTCGCGGGCTGTCATTCCGTTGTCTGACGTCGAGGATTTGTATCCCAAGGACCGCATGAGGATTTCCTAGTACCGCACTGGAGGGCAGTCTAATGTTAGCCCCAGAGGCTCAGGTCACCGCCAAGGAAGTACCAGTGCCAGCCTGGCCTTTTGTTTCCAAGAGCAAATTGTTTGGAAATAGGTTGAGAGTTGGTCGTTTCTTTTTTCGTCGGTGGGTAAAGGCTTGTGCCAATTAGGCTTCAAGTGTGCTCGAAGACAGCCTAGCAGTGATTTTGTAAAATCTGCTTTCCTGTTATCAGCCACGTAACTTACTTGTTTCCAAATGACTTATTTGCTTACCTAGTCTCCTGCTACCCCGTTCACACTTACTCTTCGTTACCTTTAGCTCCTTTTTAAGGAAATTGGGTGATGCCTCGCTTCAATAAACCACAGGGAAGCAAAGCCTTCAGAGCCTTGACCCCGATAGCCCAACACCCAACACTCCTGCCAAAACTCTAGTTAGCTGATCGGGGCCAAGAATACTGAAATTTATTGATAAAATGCTTTTTATCATTCAAAAGACCTTTTAACAGCCCACCAGAGGAATGGATATGAAGAAATAAATAAAAGCAAAACAGACTTGGGGGTACAAGGGCCGAACACTTAATCTGGGAACTCCCGCTATCTAATTTGAGCAGGGTCTGCTAATGCTGTTTTCACCGTTGAGAGCTGACATAGTGAAAAGGGTTGTAATTTATTCTTTTTTAAAAAAGAAAGGTAAACTATGTCCTTGACAAGGTCAAATCATTCTTAACTCATTTAATCAAAACAATTGAGGCTAAGTATAAAAATCTTACAAAATGAGCTTGCATTGCCTTTATTCATTCCTTAGTCCTACATACAAAGGCCAAGTGAAGTGGAAGAATGAGATGCCTCTCCAAATACAAAGCAAAAAATAGGTTTTACTACTTCAAAGCTCCAACTAATTGCCTTAATTCTTGCTCTCAGTTTGAATGTGTATTCAGTCCACACTAGTTTATAAAACTTTTCCTTTACAATACTGGTTAAAGCCTATTTTAATTCTGATCTGATATAAAACAGGACTGATCAAGTTGTTTATAACTGTAGTAGGAACAGTTATTTCCCAAGTCAAAACTGAATTATTTTTTTAACTGTAGAAATGGGGGGAGTCATTTGAACTCAACGTGATAGATAAACCTCTCAGCTGAATTTCTCAAAACAAGTCATTTCAAGAATACACTTTATTATTTATAAAAGGTGTAAAAAAGTAATAAATAATAACCTTACAGAACAATGTAAAGAATCCAGCCAGAAATGATTTTCCCTCAGATTTGTAAGCAATTTAAGTATTATAAATAACTGTACCTTTTACTCCTATGGTGTTATACCAATGAGGAAACAGTAACTTGTCTAAGGATATTATTGGTGGATTCTTTATTAATTCAAAACATTTTTAAAAAGTCAGAGTGATGCATGTGCATTGTACAATATTATCCATAGGTTTATACAATATAGTCAAATGAAAACAACTGTAATTTGATTTATTTTGAAAACTCCAAGAAATATACATAGTTTGAGACTTCAGAGTTTTCATACATTATTGTCATGCTCAAATTCTATTACATGGTGAAAATTCTAGCATTTTCAGGAAGTCTATTGTACACAGGTAAAATGACAAAATAGGCTCAAGGAAAGGGGAACAAAAACCCAAAACAACTTAAATTGGAGGAACAATAATCCAGATTATCTATTCAGTTTATAGGTACCTACAGTTATTCTGGCATTGCAAAATAACCAAGCATGGTATCTCTTAAGTTGTATTCATGCATTCAGAATTTCTTTATGGTTCACTAATAAATATTGGTTGAATCCAAAATAAGGATATAGATTATTAAGTACAATGAACATGGTAGTAAAAAATTATACATGTTCAATATGATAAATTTTACATAACTAAACACATTGAAATTATTTTTTCATATTTAACAAACATCCTAAAATCATATTCAGGAAACACTGCGTTTATGACAAATAGGTTAAAACAAGGGTTAAAAAAAATCAAATCTCTTACATTGTCTCAATATTCAGTGTTTATTGTTCATCAGAGGACAGTATAGAAAAACACGCAGTAAAATGATTATCAGTTTAAATTGCCTGTTATGACAATTAGTTAAGACTAAAATCTTTACTACCAAAGAGATACAGAGGATTAAGGTAATTTTACTATTTCAAAGGGAAAAAATCACTTTCACCTCCATTAAATGAATATTCAAACTAACACTGTTGTGGAAGTTTCCCATTTTAATTTTCAATTCATTGTATTTTCCTCATAGTACTTGTTAGCAGTCATTGAATGGAACCTAATAGTGCTGAAGAATCTTCTCCTAATTTTTTGAGCTCAGTGTAATGTCCAGAAAACTTATGTGCAATATAATCTCTCAAAAAATCTATTACTTTACAGCAGAGAAACCTAACACTACCTCAACCAGATGACCAAAGTCAACATCACCAGCCATAAGTCATGATTATGGTATGCACCTTTAATATTGTATGATATAAATGACACTTTACTTCTGAGGTCTTCCTTCCAAAAACTGATAACTATGATAACTGATATGTCTAATTATGGGGAAAACATCAGACAGATTCCAGTTGAGGGGCATTTTGCAAAACACTAGACCAGTATTCCTTAAATCTGTCAAAATCATTAAAAGCAAGAAAAGTTTGAGAAACTGTCACAGCTAAGAGTTGCCTAAGGACACATGATGACTAACTGTAATGTGGTATCTTGAATGGTATCCTAGAACACAAAATGGTAAAAACTAAGGGAATCCGAATTAAGTGTAGACTTAGTGCATTGATATTGGTTCATTATGTGTCAGATATCTCATGGGTGTGCTGTACATGGAACCTCTCTGTACTATCTTTGCAATTTTTCTGTAAATCTGAAATTATTCAGAAGTAAAATATTAATGAAAAATTTATGAACAAATTCTTTTATTCTATTTTCATGGTAAAATTATTTTAAAAATCTTACTACTCTAGTATTAAAAAGAATGCTTTCTCTTCCATGTCAGTATCAATGTTTTCTACAGGCCAGTCTCATAATTTAACTTTTGTTCTACCCCCATATATTTATTTGGCACATTATTGATATTTATATTCTTCCTGTTCTTGGGAATGTTATTTTATTTCCACAGGAAATAAAATTTTCAAATGTTTTCTCTTATTTAAACTTTGATTTATATCTATAATACAATATTATATACACATGCATACACACATCTAACTATATACATATCTCTATATATCTCTCTATATATCTTCATGTGTATATGTGTGATTTTTTTTTCTTGATTGTAGACTCGGGATGATGTTGGCAAACCAAAAACTGTGATTTTGAATCACAATATTGAACAAAGCAATAACATTCATATATTCCTCCATCTGAAAATAAGCTTGATAATATAGTTTGGAAGAATATTAAATTATATTTTTAAAGTATGGTTTGAAAAAATATAAGAAAAGTGCAATAAAATGTCATTTAATACATTCTTGAAAAATAGAAATTATTACTGAGCTCCAGAACTTTGTTAAAATAATAATATTATATGTAACACTTTACTCTTTATGTGTTTACTTCATTTCTTTCTTATGGCCGTCCTGTAAATTATTTATATTCCTCATCTGAAGATGAGGAAAGATGCTCAGGATAGGTGATTTGCCGAAGATCACATAACAGAAATGCAACTAGAAACTAAATTTCTAATTAAAGTCTCATATTTGGAAGTAAAACTTCATCTGTTTGTGTTACAAGGATACTATTAAGAGTGTTTCAGGGAATTTCTGAAGCAAGTTTTTGGTATCAGTTTTTTTGGTGGGTTTTCTTTTGAAGATTTTGTTGTTTTTTTTTAGAGAGAGAGGAGGAGGGGAAAAGAGAGGGAGAGGAACATGGATGGGCTGCCTTTCTCACATGCCCCAGCCAGGGACTGGGCTGTAACCCAGGCATGTGGCATGTGCCCTGACTGGGAATCAAACTGGTGACCTTTCACTTTGTGGGACGATGCTCAACCAACTGAGCCACACCAGCCAGGACGGTATCAGTTTTATTGATAAATATTTGCAGGTGTAGCAGGGGAGGAATAACTAAATCTTTTACAGACCTAAGACTATTTTTTTCAGGAGAGCAAACATTTCATATTGGTCAGAAGTTTATGAAGAACTGAAAAGAACAGGCAAATGTAGTCCTTTGTAAAAGAATACTTTGAAAATTAACTGTTGTAACTGTCAATATAAATACACAGGCCAGAAAATTTTCTGGAAATATATTTACCACCTTTCACAATAATTGGCCCATGCAGGCAGTGCAAAGTTTTCAAAATTCATATAGGCGTTTTAGATCTAAGACACCTAGGTGGTTTTCAAAAGGGTTCTTATTTTCTGACTGTATTTGAAATATTTTATTGTATATTTTTTTCCTTGGTGTATCTGATATATTGTAACTTTTGCAGATGTAATTTGTCACAATTACAATAATTTATTTTTTAATATAAGTTAAAAATATATTGGAAAAATAGATTTTTTTTTTCAAAATTAAGACTTAGGTATTATTTTAAATCAGCTTAATGGGGTGAAAATGTATTTTTGCCCCTAATAAATAAACATTATTTACCTATTTCTATAGTCCTTTTGCAAAACTGAATTGTTAGGTAAAAATATGACACGTTTCATTCTGTAAGAACGTAGGCAGCATTAAAGGATACTTACTATTAAACACCCCATGCACCCTGACCAAATATCAGAACTGGTCATCCTATGTACATATTTTAAGATTTAAAAAAAGACCACATTACGGTCTTGAATTTTTGCACTTTATAACATTGACATCAAAATTGTGTTTTGCTCTTGTTCATATGCCAGTGCGCCCGCTGTGCTTAGAGCTGCCCTGTAACACTGTCAGGGTATCTGTCCCCTTTGGGTAACATAGTAACAACTCTCCAGATTAAAGAAGAAGTGTCATCCATCATTATTAATGTGATCTATGTATGAGATCTATCTGTGAAGATATCTGGCTCTCCAGTGTATTGATATATATTTTTATATATTCTATATCCTCTACTTTTCTTTCCATTATAGATACATCTGAAGTTAGGCACTATAGAAAGAGCATTAACCTCTTTCTGTGCACGTTAGCAGATTCTAACAGTATACAAAGATACCTCGGCAATCTGAAACACAAGCGTACCTTCTAAAGTGCTAATTTTTCCTCAGGGAGAAATTTACTCACTAGGAAAAATCTAATTCTACCAAAACAAATATTGTGCTCTTGGAACGGTAGCATAGACACCATTTGAGGGCATTTTTTTGTTTTGTTTATTATAGCTTTGTAATTAAAACAGAAGGAATTATACTATACTTTAAAAATGTGTAGAGTTGCAAATATACAGACATACTCTTAGATAGAAACTTTAAATATTTTGAAATTAAATGAGAAACCGTTCCCTCCCCTCCCCGCCAAAATAGGACTTTAGCACAGAAATGCTCACATAGCATGGTTAGCAACATCTGATGTGTAAATCTACTCTAGAGTCATTCTCAGCATAACTTCCTAATCAGGTTTCAAGTGGATATACTAACTTCAAAGTCTGCATTCTACAAATGCCCAGGTTAGAGATCAGGGCTCTTTTTAAGGGCCCTTATCTTTTACATTTGGTAAAATATTAAAAGTATTGTCAAACAGACAATTCATCTAATAGTCCAAAGTATCTTATAAAGATAACTGACGACTAGCAGGTCACCATCATATATAGTAACAACAAGAATATAAAGTCTACATTTTAAAAGATCGATGCATGCAGTATATCATAGTATATTACATATTTTCTATTCATGTGCACCAATTTATTGTGCTTCAAACACAGCAACAAGTATGATATTACAACATGTATGTGTATACATCATAGTAGCATAATAAACTCAATTCTAACCAAAAAAATTAAATAATTCAGGAACACTAGAACTTCACAATAGATGTGATGATTCTTTTGGATTTTTCTTCATTCTTTAGGAAAAAATATGACTTTGTAAACATCTTCATAGTTGTCTTTTTCAACATATTACTGAAAACTGTTACTGAAATAGTAAATACCCAATTGACATGGATAAAGTATGTCTTAACACACTAACACTTTCAGACAAAAACTAGCATTTGTTAAAAGAAATTATTATAAATATTTTCTATCTTGTATTTTAAGTACATTTTCATAAATAATGTATTTAAAAGTGCTGAATATGGTAGGATAGTCAGCAACGCCAGTGTAAACAGAACATTTTTGTTTTCTACTCTGCAAACTTTTTTTTAAATCCCATTTTGTCAAACACTGCAACAGTTAAAATATTTGCATAGGGAATAGATAATAGCCCTTTTAAACATATCTCCTGAATTCTATATAAATTAGAAAATCAAATTTACTTTAAAAAAACAATGCTTAAAATGCTTTAAGTTTATGGAAAAAGAAACATGATGTTAACCTTTCAAGTAAAATAAATTTAAAAAAGAAAACCCAAACTTGTTTTTATTTATGTTTAATAAATTAAAAAATGAGAGGTAGTTAAAAATGACAAAGAAAACCTATTTTAATATCATCCTTAATATAAGGCCAGTATTCTCTATAAATATTTTTAAAACTTTCATTTTAGGTTACTCACTATTTAATAAGTTTAAGATTAAAAAAATAGCCTCCAGGGGATATTAATATTCAAATGTAACACCTGCATATAAATATGACGCTGACTTTTTGTGTGGGGGCACGATAGGATACTGTTTTCTTGAATGTCAAAAGTGTGTGCCAATGTCAGGCACGTACTTGTCTTAAAGACTTAGTGATACTATAAAAAACAATGTGGCAGCTAGGAGATTTGAGCACTGCAGTGCCTTTCAATTATGGATGAGAATTAATAGTTCGGTTTTAACATTTTTAAGATAAGTAATTCTTAAGATACTATGTGAAAACAGGGTCTGAAGTAGACAATTATCTTCTTCATAACCCTTAGAAAACTTTTCTTGATTTACGACTTAGCTTTCCATTGGATTTTACTTTCAAAGAAAATATGTCACACGGACAGATGCTTTTCCTCAAAAATTTTGTAGGATGGTACATGTAGGCATTCTAAATCCTTTCTTTATATTCCAAAACTAAATTATCAAGCTTACTATTTCTTTTTCTTGCTAAAGTACATACATAACACAACTGTTTTAGAACTGGAGAGCCAGTCTTTAATAAATTAATTACAGTATCGGACATGTGATATATACATAGATTCATTTTCTCCTGTTACAATTAAAAACAATATCACTCTTTGATTTGTCATTGAGAGAGATTATCTTCAAATTATTTTGTGCTTTTTTTCTCTTTTCATCTTACTATTTTTTACACAACAAACTCTTCTGTAATGAAAACGCCACAGTTTTGGCAGTGAACAACCAGAGGAATCCCCCTTAGGATTTTCCAACAAACAGATAAATAGCTCTTTTTTCATGTACAGAAATACTGGCTTCAAAATTAGTGTACTGAACACAGTATATAGCATGTTGAATATCACTGTTACAATTTAAAAATTGGCTTTTCCTGTCTTAGATTATATTTGAAAATGCAAACCACAGCCAATTTTTTGGCATTTATTTCTGTAAGACCATATTGCACGAAAGTCCTTAAATACAGATATAAGTTATGCCGTTGGATTAAATATTACAACAACTATGTGGCAAATGAAGCAGTTTTACTTTGCACATGCAGTCTCTGGAGATACACTAGGAGACTGTTCATAGGACTACCAATACAGTTTGCTTGCAAGTAGAATGAGTGTTCAATAAAACAAACTTAATTTGGCAATTCATTATTGTATGTGGTATTTTCTCCAAACTTAACCATGGATAACCTTGATAAAAATGGAGACAAAGACCATATGGTTGTATTTTCACAGTAGCCTGAGGAATGCTCAACTGTAGTTCTCCAGGAACTCAGTTTCTGGTGTTATTTAATTACTTTTATTTCCCATCCCAGCCCTCCAAAGTGATATTTTAAAATGAAAATTAAGATTCAGAAGTAGAGCTGGCAGTACTTTCAAGAAATGACTTATAAATTTGAGAGTTCAAAAACCTTGGAAAAGAATCTCTGTGCATTAAGGTATATATCTGAAGTTGGGCATCTTCATACATGTGAGGATTGGGATCCAACAGATTTCTATTGATCACCTCTCTAACTCTCGAATCGAGGCTGACCTAAAAAGAAATAAGAGCAGATATAGTAAATAACATTTTTTCAAAAGATCTCAAATAACTATGGGTTCATGACATAAGATCTCAATTAAATAACTATAGGTTCAGAGAAATTCCAAAGAGTCAATCCAAATACCTCAATCTTGAGGTTATCTTTTTAAACACTATATAACTTTGCATTCTTTTCTCCTTCAAAAGTTGAATTAAACAAACAAAAAGCTAAAAATTGTTTTTGACCATTTCTATTCATTGTTGAGGTACCAGAGAATTCCCTAGCGAGAACACAAATTTACCGTGCACTATTATGTGACTGCTGGGGTCACTCTCTTTACAGAGCAAGGTAAAAATTTCACAGAGAGTAGTTTTCTGGGGAAAAAAATTCACATGTGTATCAAATGCTGATAGTTTCATATCCCCGCAAGTCATACTTTGTCAAAGTAGCAAACGAAGAATGTGGAAGTTCCTAATAGAGCGGAACCATGGCAGGCATTCCTTATGTCTTAGGTCTGCTTGTCAACACACAGGAAACTATACAGTCCTTATTCCAGAATATATCCAAAGATCTCTGTAGTAAAGATGAAGCAGAATAATTGCTCAAAGTAGAACCTTTGAAAGGAGAAATGTTACATAGGAATTCAGAACACCCATTATTTAATACAACGTTATTTAAAAGTACACAGAAATTCTGCTAGTGATTCAGTTGTCTTTCTTCCTCTATCCTGTTGGAACCAGTAGGACATGTTAGTAAGGAAAGCAGAGAAAAATAAATAGCAGTAAGGACATGTTCGGGGAAGAGAAATTAGCTCTGCATGAAATGACTTGTTAGTAAAACCCTGCAAGAGGCAAACCATCAGTGAGTCCTGATTGGTTTCTTCAGTCCACACAGTAGGACAAGGACTAGGGCATCTGATCCATAGTTAACTGTTTCATGATATAGTCAAGGCTATACAAACTTTTCATATTTGTACCTAAACATTTAATTACAGTTATTTTGCAAAAGCTTTTTTGATTCTGGCTTCTTGTCCACCCACTGTTTCAATTAAGCCTGGGGCCTAAAACAGTCCCAGTGACAGACCACCCACATTTCCCCTGGTATCCCTAGATTTCTGAGTGCTATGGCCCATGTGCAGTCGGCTTGGTTGATACACTCTGGAAATGGCTGCTATGGGAGGATTCGTCAAGAACCAGTGATCCAGGCTGAGTTTCTGTGGTTTAGCTAGACCAACTTATAAACAGAAAAAGATTTAAAAATGCTTGGCTAAACTGTATATTCTTTGTCAGAAATTGTAAAAAGTATTTATGTTCTAGAATTAGACCTTTTAGGTTTCATTTTCTGTAATACTGCCATATGAGATCATCATCAAGTACAAAGCAATACAAAGTACAGAATTTATTCTCAGCTTTATTTAAATATATTATTTGTGTTTCTACTCAGTAGGAAAATGTTGACATGGGAGCTTAAACTGTTTGATCTTGCTCATTAATATGGCGTCATAACAAGGCGAAGTCTTACCAAATGCCCTCCAGTTTTTATAAATGGCGCTTTTACTTTCAAACTTGAGAACTTTTTGTTTCAAGGGAGAAAAAAAGGTTAGTGATAAAGAAAGAGGTCTTTTATTTCTAAGGTAATAGCATAATTAAATATAGTGTGACAGTTTTTCAGTCTCTGGAATCATATTCATTATCTTAAGTTAGAGAAATAAAATAATTTGATTTGTTACATATCTTGAATCCTCATTGTAAAATTTTTTATTTTTTTCCAAATTAAAAACAGTTGTGAAGTATCATAGAGAAAGTAGTACTATTCAATGTTTAGTAACCTGTAACAAAAACATTTACTATTTGATATAAAAAATAAAATACTTAGGACAATAAAAGATGGTGGTGGGGTGGGTGGAAGCTACACTCACCTCCTCCCAACCAAACTGGAATTACAACTAAAATATAGAGCCATCAACCTGAATAACCAACTGAAGACCAGTTGACGAGAAGTCTTATAACCAAGCCGTTACAGAAGAGGCCACACCAAGGCTAGTAGGAAGGGCAGAGACACGAAAAGGGCTGGCCCCACTTCCAAAAGTGGAGGCTGAGATTCCAGAGAGTATCTCAGCTGAAGGGAGAACTCTGGGGTTTCAACCCCAAGCCAGGCTTCCCAGTCCAGAACACCAGAGCTCGGAAGTAGCACTTGCATACCATTTGGCTGTGAAAATCGTCAGGGATTCAGTCCACCAGGGAAAGACAGGAGACTGCTAGCTACACAGGCGCCCTCTTAAAGGGCCAAGGCACAAAATCTCATTTGCAGCCACTCACACTGGGTTCCAGTGGAGGGAGGGTGGAGAGGACTAGAATCAGGAGAGGAGAGACTGGGATTTATGGCTCTGGGGAAAGAGCTGAAGGGACAGATATTAGGATATCCCACACCACAGATGACACCTTCCTTGGGTAGAGCACTCCCCTTCAGATGGTATCGACCTGGGGGGATGCAATAGCCCCACTCTGGACTTTCCGTCACCCCACCCTACAGAGCTTGCACCCTGCTGAGGAGTAAGTTGCCTGGGCCAGGGCATAAAGGTCTGGGCAGACTCAGGGGGTGTCAATAACTGAGCGGTGTAGCTTTTGGGTAAGAGCCATTCCTCTCGTTTTCCCATGAACTTGACTGGCACCTCCCTCTCATGGGAGATCCACTAGCCACACTCTCAGTGCTTTGGCTGCTCCATCCTCCCAACTCCTGGTGGCTCTGTCTTGCCAGAGTTGGAGCAGAATCTGAGACAGACTGAGTTGTGTGGCTCTGGGGCAGTGGCCATACCCCCACCTTCCCCCAAGCCTGACCTGCACACCCTCCCCTCACAGGAGGTCCACTAGCGTCATACTCCCAACTCCTGGCCGCCCTGTTCTACTAAAATCGTGCTCCTAAAAGAACCTGGGACAGACTGAGTTGCGTGGCTCTAGGACGGGGACCATTTTTCCCTAGCATACATGACAGGTGCAGAGTCTTCCTTTCACATGGCCAAATCTTGGTTTGTTTGGTCCTGATAAACTCTGTTGGCTTAACCCTGATGACTCCCTGAGACCATGTCCCACCACAAAGGTGTGCAAGAAGTCAGCAGGTGCCAGTTGGACTGGGGTACCCTGGGGCATTAGCTGAGTGGCCTCAGATCCAGCACTGGCACTGAATTTGAATCTGTATCAATCTAGTGAACACCACTTGCTTCCCCCTGGTGACTCACTGAGAACATAACTCATGCTACTCAAGTACTGCCAGAGGCTCATGCAGTGACTGAGACTAACAGGAAGCCAGCAGGTGGAGGCAGTCTTAGGACTTTAGCTGACCTGCCCCAAGGGTAGTGCTGATAAAAGCCACCTTTGGTGTGTGGCTTGGTCCTTCCCACATAAACTCAGGCCTAGCAGAGGTAGCTGCACAAGCTGTGTATTGCTTTGTAGCTCCAAACAGGTTGACCGGGGCCAGCCATAAGCAGCGTCTGATATTGGCCTGTACCAGAGTCCTTCCTAAGAGGCTCCAGAAACAACAACTCATTAGCAAGATTCTGACAACATAAGAGTAGGATTCAATTAGTTCCACAAGTGGCATATCCAAAGGGACATCATTTCAGGCACTAGACACTGCTGAGGTGAATTCTGCTTTGTATGGTCAGCACCTACACAGCAACTCATACACTGTGGTCAAGGTTGATACTCACAGTCAGCCAGGCTGAAAGTTGACTCCACACACAAATGGGCTAATAGGAATCAATACTCAGTTACAACAGGAGGACCCACATAACCCACACAAGAGACCTTCCTGAAGCACTGAGCTCAGGTGATCAAAGAGAGTGTATCACTAGGTCCCATGGAACACCTACTAAATAGGGCTGCCCTACCAAGACTGGGAGTCATAGCAGATCAACCTAATACATAAAAAACAAAGACAAAAGTTTTCAAAATGGAGAGACAAAGAAATATGCCCCAAATTAAAGAACAGGAGAAAGCTCCCAAAATAGAGGTAAATGAGATGGAGGCAAGCAATTTACCAGACACAGGGTTAAAAAAAATGGTTATAAGGATACTCAAGGAGCTTAGTGAGAGCTACAACAGCATGAAAAAGACATAGAAACTGTAAAAGTCAGAAATAAAGTATACAATATCTAAAATAATGAATGCACTAGAAAAAAATAGAAAGTAGGTTGGATGAAGAAAACATAAAAAGAACAGTCAGAAATAACACAATATTTGAAATAAAGAATACAGTAGAAGGAATAAACAGTAGGTTGGATTAAACAGAGGATAGAATCAGAGCAGCAAAAAAGAAAAAAGAATTTTAGAAAATAAGATTAGTTTAAGGGACATTTAAGACACATGAAGTGTAACAACATCCAACCATAGGGACACTGGAAGGAGAAGAGAGAGAGCAATGGATTCAGAACATATTTGGGGGAAAAAAAGAGACTGAAAACTTCCTTGACATGGTGAAGGACAATGACACACAATTCCAGGAAAGGCAGATTCCCCAAAAAATGAAGCCAAAGAGGCCAACACCAAGACACATCATAATTAAAATGACAAAGGTTAAAGACAAAGAGAGTATCTTAAAAACAGCAAGAGAAAGACAGTTACCTACAAGGGAACTCCCATAAGATTGTCAGCTGATTACTCAACAGAAGCATTTTAAGCCAGAAGACATTGGAATGAAATATTCAAAGTGATGAAAAGCAAGGACCTACAATCAAGGCTACTTTACCCAGCAAGGCTATTATTTAAAATTCAAGGAGAAATAAAGAGCTACCCAGAAAAGCAAAACCTAAAAGAGTTTGTTACCACCTAACCAGTGTTACCAGATATGTTAAAGGGAGTTCTTTAAGAAGAAAGAGGAAGACAAGGAGGAGGAAGAAGTGGAGGAGGAGGAGATGAAGAAAATCAGAACATAGTTAAAAAAATTAAATGGGAAATCCATATCTATTATTAATCACTTTAAATGTAAATGGCTTAAATGCTCCAATCAAAAAACA